CCCACGTCCACCAGGAGAGGAGGCCCGCGACCTCCCCGCCGTCTATCCCTGCCCCCCAAGCTCGCCGTCTCCGTCCTCTGTTGTCTCCGCTCCGGCCACCACCTCATCGTGGTCAGGTAACCCTCCTCCCTCTGCCTCTCTTCTCCTCTCTTTCTCCTCTCCTCCCTCCCGGCCATGCCCTCTTCTTCTCTCTTTTGCTAGGTTTAGGTCAAATCTCTCTCGAATTTAGGTCAAATTAGGTTCAAAAAATTGTGGGAGTAGTGCCTAGCAAACATGAATAATTAGTACTCCATGTGCATTGGAGTACTTGGTACCTGCAAGATTTGGACACACTGAAAAAATGCACTGGACACACTGAAGAAAAATTTTGTGTCCAGTAAGATTAGAGAAAATTTTGTGCTAATGGTGTGCTGGTAGAACGCGCAATTTTTGTTAGTTCGTTGCCATGTCATGATAGGACATTCAGTTGTTTCTGTTGTTCACAATGCTCTGAATTTGTGTGCCAAAGAGAGTTTTCTCTGAATTTGTTGTTCACAATGCTCTAATGGTTTGTCAGTGAATGGTGGTGCAATGGTGGCCTCTGTTTCAAATATTTCAGCAATTACTTGACCATAAATAAAAAAGAAGATTTGGGGATGGTAACTCCTGTGTGGTTTCTATTAAATTTAAAATAGTGAGGGTGTCATTTTCATCCATTCATCTCTTTCTCTAGCTTGTCTAAAAGTTATGTTTACAATATTGCTGCATTTTCTAGAACAACCACCACACTATAATATTTCATAAGATGATGATATAGTTAAGAATATTACTTAAAGTATGCTTCTGAATATTGTTGTCCACAATGTCTTCTCGCCAAACGCTTATCCATTTAGGAGCCATGGTCATAAGCAGTCTGCTTGAGGGTGGTCTTACACAACATATGGAATTTATCCATCTAATGTAGTCAATAGATGTTGTCAAGTGATTGTGTCATGGTTTTGGTTCTGTTTTTAAAAAGGAAAGCCAATTGTTCAGGCTTCAAGAAAATATTTTCTCAAAATATTACTGCTAAGCCCAAGCTTGTTAATCATGTAACTTGAGAAAATTATTGAAGTAGATCAAATTCAGCCATTATAATGTTTGATGCCTGCATCAACACTTCTCTGTACTGCATGCAGTTGTTATAGTTGAGGGTCAAAAGTAGAGGTTAGCTTTAACATGATTCGCTAGTGCTTTCATCACTTGTGTGGTGATTGTCTTGGTCCTTTTCATTTTTTTCATGGCATTCTTGAGGTGCTGATGTGTCTGAGGGCATGAACCATGATCAGGTTGAGTTCAGATTTCATTAGATTAGATGGATTATCAGAACTTGACGTGGTTTTCCACTTAGCTATCTGAATTGAGAAAAAAACATAGCTTTTGCTGTCTCTGAGGCAAAACTTGCTACTCCATATATAATTAATACTACTACTAGACAAGATACTACTCCATATACTAATAATACTACTACTGTATTTTATTTCAAAGTTCAAAATGCTGGTACTGAGATTTTCAATTCCAATGAGTGATGTTTTTCCTAGCAGTAGAAAAAACATAGCAACTTCTATGATGTTATAAAGTTGTTCTTATATGGGTGAAACTTCACTTGTTTTTAGGCTAGTGTAGGGTGTTGCTTCTTCTGTATGGGCCAACTATGTCACAAATAAATTGTTCCTTCTTCTGTATTTGACAAGTAATGACTTGCAAAGATGATGATCATCTTGCTAGTTTGCTGGGTTTTGTCCCCGAGAGGCCCTTGAGTTTGCCAGAATGTCGATTAACTTCCGTTCCGGCAAATTCGGGTACTCCATATGTCCTATTTTCAGCAAAGGTCATGCTGAAATTTTCCATGAATTTTAGCATGACTTT